CTGGTCCCTGCTCAAGAAAACGGAGGTGACGAATTGGTTAAAGAGGTCCGCTTTCTCCTCTGATGCAACCACCAGATTGCCCAGCGTATCCTGCAGGGGTCCCACATTACCTGGCGCCTTCTTCATCCTCCCAATATATTTGAAGAAGGACTGTTTGTTATCCTTAATCTTGGACACTATTCCGAGCTCTATGTCTGCCTTGGCCTTCCTAACAGCTTGCCTACAGGCCCGAGCAGAGGAGGTATACTCCTCTTTGGAGACTTCTTGCCTCTCATTTACAGATCTGGTCTCAGCGACCACGCCACAGCTGTTGCTCCTGCCACAGCATTCTCAGTCCCCGCTGAAACGCTGTCTCCATTCCCAATGCTGGAATGCTGTTTCTGCTCCCAATCCTGGCCACGCTGCCTTGGCTGACTACGCCACAGCTTCTCCCTTGGTCTCCACGGCCTATCCCCATTCTGGTAAATATTTCCCCTTTAATTTTTACTTCTTTGTTGACAGCCTCCACTTCTGCAGTTCTTTGGATCCTCACCCTTGAAGCCGCTGTGCCCTTTGGCATGTCCAGCAAGCCTCCATATTCCCAGCCCTCCACTTTCTACCTCCTGGCTTCTGCTTTTGTTGGTCAGTTTTCTTCTATTGTCCGGGGCAGCTGTGGGCGGCTGCAACTGGGAACAGTTTCACTTTCAGGTCTGACCTGCCAATGACCCCTCCCAGGGTAGAAACAGTGTTCTCATTAACAGGGTCTTGTAATCCCTGTTACAGTCCTGAAAGTCTATGGATTGTAAGCTTTTCACTAAGAACGTTTTGTAATTGTCCTTTAGATGTTTACTGTCAAATCCTATGTCTAGTATGTAGACCTCAAGTCATGTAGGGCTTTTAAAAATGCATCTGAAGGCAATTAGAATGTCAGTAGCTCCTGAAAAACTAGTTGAACATGTTCTTTACAACTATTACCGGATAACAGGTGATCAGCCACTTTTTAAATCGGTAGTCATTTCGGAACTGTCTTCAAGGAAAACCCCAAATACTGTATTACTTTGAGCCAGTTTGGAAATTACCAACTTGGATTGCAATGGCACGGTCATAAGCATGTGCAGAAATGAACAAAACATATGGTGCTAGTATGGGCTGTCCACACCTTGGAATTCTAGTTGATAGGAGTCAAGCATAAGAGCCAGTCAGGATTTTTTTGGATAAAATGTTTTCTCTCTGGAAAATGCCGGCTCTTTGAAACAAACTTTTTGTCAGAACATACCAGTTAGACCAACCTTTTGTCAGGTCAGGGTTTTCAGGTCCAGGATGGAATTCCTAATCAAAATGACAGGAAGAAAAAGTGTGCCTGCAAACCACATTCCAGGGACTAGGGCATGTGTTCAAATTGCAAAAGGAAAGATTAGGATACATATTAGGAAAAACTCTCTCAGTAGAAAAGCACTAGAAAATGCTACACAGAGGCTCTGGAACCTCCAACCTTGGAGGTTTTAAGATCCTGGCCAGACAAAGTCTTGGTTGGGATGGCATAGGTGGGGACAGTCCTGCTTTGAGCAGAGGGTTGGACTAGATGACCCCCTGAGGTCCTTTCAACCCTAATTTTCTGATTCTATGATTTGTATGTGACATGGAAGACTTACACCTGTCTTCCAAATTTGGGTAAAGAGTAGTTTCCATGTTTGTCTCCACTGGGAATACTTCTACTTATTCCATTTCCAGGTATAATTAAACCACAGTAGTGATCACTGCTATAACTCTCCAATTTGAGCATTGTATTAGCTTAAACTGCTTCCAAAGTGATATAAAATACATCACAATTTAAATTCCGACCTTTTCTTACACTGGGACAAATCTCCCACATTGATATGCCCAAAGCCAGAGCTAAGGGTCTCAGCCAGGGTGCTGCAAGATCATTTGAAGGGTACCACACACTAGGTGCTTAAACACCTGGCTGTGATTCATAGCACAAACCCCAAGGTTTCAAACTGGAATCCCTGGCTGCCCCAGCATGGTCTTCTGTAAGTTCCCTGTAATAGAAGAATTGCTCTATTTTTCTGGAGTCAAACAGAAAGGAAAACTAAGGGCTGGCATTTCCCAAGGGGTGTCCTGAGTCTAATGAGGGGTTCCAGGAGTTTAATGAGGGGTGCCCTGAGCCGGAAATGAGAACCACTCCAAGAGAGAGGTTCCCTTGCTCCGGGTGGCAGTTCCTTTTGCCTTGAAGACTTTTATTTATTCATTCTTTTAACGCTAGTGAAAAAAAATTAAGCTATTCCTTCACTCTCCGCGGGCTTCCCCTCAGCAATTCCCGTAAAGGAGCAAGATGAAATTCACAAGCCTGGGCCAGCCCCGGCTTTGGAGCGAAGCCAGCTGAACATCATCCGCTGGACAGCCCGGCCTCAGCGAGGGGCTCAGGACTCTCGCGCCCGGGGACCTGACGGGGCTGAGCCGCGTTGCTGCCACAGCGCGGCCGGCCCGGACAATGGGGCCCGGCGCAGCCTCCCGCGCCCCAGCCCACTCTGTAAAACGGTCAGTGTGCGGGCGATGGCGCATCTCGGCTTCCTTGTCTGGCAGCGACCTCACCCGCCTGGCGTGTTGAGACCCCTACCCCTCCCCCGCGCCGCGCCTGCCCGGGGATATCCCCTGGCCGCCGACGGCGGCGCCTCTAGCTGCCCAATGGAGGCGGAGATGCTGTGCGGACTG